CTGCCTCATGGTATGACCTTTTTTTTTTTTTTAACCTCTTTTTAATGTAACAGCCTGGCAGCCTGAGAGCAGGGATGGAGAGTGGTGATGTTACTGGCTGACTGCTCCTCTGTCCGTGAAATGTTGCTTCGTTCGTGTTGCCTGTCTGGGTGGGAGATGCCCATCGCAGAGATCCTTTTGTTTGGAGAGGGAATTGGTTGTGTAAATAGCAGAGGGCAGAAAGATTGTGTGTACACAGAAAAGCCTGCGCTTTTCTGTTACTGCTCCGCAAGGTGGAATAAAGGTGCCTTTTTTTTTTTTTTTTTAAACTGTCTGGAACATCTTCCTGAATCCTAATAAATAGTAAATGAGAGTCAGTTTTCAATATTACAACAAACATGGTTTTCATGTAGAACTTAAATGATGGTTCTGCAGGGGTTTGTGTGAAGGCCTCACAGGTAGTGAAAAGCAATTACCCTGACAAGAAGAATATCATAGTTTTTTATAGTTTAGAAATAAGCAGTGATTTGACTAGTCTGCCCAGCAATCTTGGGATGTGCTAGCCCATTAAGAAGTTCTCATGAGGTTTCGAAGTCTATTCATCCAGTTATTTTATTTTCTTAGCAATACATTCTCAGTGTGTGTTCTCATGTAAATAATGCTTATGTGGTTTAAGGTATGTTATGTATAGGTGCTATCACAATTATAAATTTTATTTTTAAGGACAATTGAGTGTGGTCTGAAATGGTGCTCGTATCAAATCATGACAAGTAGGACAGGCCAAATTTCTTAATAGAAAATAAATTTGCAAATAAATCTTAGTAGACCATTTCCTGTCATTGTCAAAGAAGACTGGGGGAATTTTCTGCATGTATTGAAACAAAAAGGAAATGGAAGATTGAAAACATTCCGGGAAAAAAGCTTAAAAGAATTAAAAGTGAAGGGAAGAACACTTTTTAAAAGCCAAATTACACATTTGTTGAGGGATTTCTGCTTGGATGCCCTTTCTGTTTGGAGAGAAAGATGACCAAAGGTATTAGAGTAATGGGATATAAGTATTGTGTGATAATGGGAACTGAAAAATGGTGGTCACAGCTCCCCTTTTTGCTTCTTGACGACAGCAACAAATTCAACACCCAAAGGGTGAATTCAACACCCAAAGCCCCCAGTTTCCATCTCTCCAGGATCATGCTGTCATAACATTCCTGACAATTTTGTAAGAGTCTTTCATAAAATAATTTGGGTTTCTTATTTATTGGAAGATCATTCTGGAGCTTCATTCCTGTGAAATTTAGAAACCATCTCCTAATTCCCAGTTTAAATTTACTCAGGACTCATAAACAACTCAGGATTTACTCAGGACTAATAAATATGTATTTGATCCCCATTAGTACTGCTGGGCAGGGAATGCCAGGAGGGACGTATTCTGAGCATAATGCACTGTGGGCACATTTACCCCAGCGTGTATGTTTAGAATAGCTACACTGGAAAAACCAGCCTGCTCTTGGTTGATTATGCTGCTGAGTCGCTGGTTAGGCTTGGGTCCCACCAGTGTCTGTGATTTCAAATGATGCAAGCGAAGATCCCTTCAACAGTTGTTCATCAGCTGTTCATTGGCTCTACTTGGTCCTTGCCAAGTTCGCAGCCAAACCCCCACCGGCACTGCTCTCATTTGGAATTACATAGTGCCAGTTCCTCTGGTTTCTTCTATGAGCAGATGGATTCTCCTTGGAAAGAAGTCTGGTTTCTGACCTCCAGGTGGGGTTCCAGGGATGGCTCTCCCGCCCTTTGCCGTTACGTTCTTTCTCTTTCAAAGATACTGGCACTTGCGTAAGTGCATGATGCACCTTTGAGGAGAGGCGATTCAACAAAAATAACTCTGTTATGCTCTGTTGCGTTATGCTCTGTTGCATTACTCCTGTAGTGGTTCACTGTCTCATCCCTGCTTTGGATGAATTATTCTTGCCTTCTCAGTCTTGTATCAGTTATAATAACTCCCACCTTTTGACCTGTTTAAGCTCTAGCTGTCCAAGTTCCTGCATGCTCAAAATGCTAATCTTGTCTTCCTAATGCCCAAGAAATAAAGGCAAAGTTTAATTACAAAATAGAAACTCTGGACTCTGCTTTTGGCTCTTTTTTTTTTTCTCCTCCTTTTCATTTTTTTCCTGGTGTATCAGAATTGTGCTCATATGTTTATATTATCTTGGATGCTTTTTGATGCTAATATTTTCTCATCTTTCTGCATCTCTTCTTTCCCAAAATGAGAGCCACCTTCTCTGTAGCTTTTTTGAGGAGTATTTTTATTGTATCCTCTCAGATATTCCTCCCCTTAGCTTTTCTTTGAGATTCAAAGGTAACGTTTCTTCTGTTCTCCTTTACTTTCCTGTTCCCTTATATTTTAACTTTTAGCTATTTCTGTTATTTCAGTTAAGTAGTAGAGAATTTAGGTCAGAAAGATGACAGTATGAAATGAAATTGCCCTGGCTATTCTAATACTTAATAGGCTATGTGGCAGTATGTCATAGGATGTTTCTATTCCATTGCTGCTTAACTTCTTAATAGCCAACACATTTCAGTGACAATACCCATCTATAAAGCTAGTTTTTAAATTCTGTCCTGTAATGAAGTATAATAATTTTTAGAGCTGAAAGAAATTTTGTAAGGGTAAGAGTTCCTTTCTTTCTACTTAAATTCTAAGAGTTCAGGATTAAGGTGATTAACTCTGCTTGGCTAGAGACAAAAAAAAAGGCTAATTTAAATCTGGTTTTAATCTCATCATGTCAAAACATGGTGCATACATAGCTGCATGCAAATTAGTAAGATCCCACAATAAAAGCTGCTTATGACAAATTAATAATTACTAGCCTGAGGTCTTAAATGCATCACTGATGGGACTAGGTGTTTGAATGAAGATGGTGTTTTTGGAGAATTGTCGTCATCTTCCTCCAAGAGTGGGCATGATTTTTCAGAACGTACTTAATTCCATCCCCTTCACATTTTGTTCAATATTTGTAGCATGCAGTCACTCTGTTTTAAGTTCTTTTGCTTCCCTTGCACTACAGCTGGTTGCCACCATGGCGCAAAGCTTTTTTTTTTTTTCTTTTTTTGGTTCCAAAGGCTATGTATGTGGGTTCCAAAGGCTATGTATGTGGGTGGCAATAGCTGCTGTAGCTGCTGCATTTCAGTGTGGTTTGTTAGGATACACTTCATTGTCATAACAGAGTTTGCCTTTGTATAATTCATTCTGAAGTCAAGAAGAGATGAAAAAGAGAAGGCTAAGGGACAATCTTATGAATGTATATAAGTAACCTAATGGGAGGATTTAAAGAAAGTAGAGCCAGTCTGTTATTTGTAGTGCCAACTGAAAGGGCACAAACTGAAATACAGGAAATACTATATAAATATTAGAAAAAAAAATCATTTTTACTCTAAGGGTGGTTGAACACTGCAACAGGGTGCTGAGAGAGGTTGTAGAGTCTCTGTTTGTTGAGGTTTTCAGAACCCAACTGGGCAGTAGGGTGCAGTTCCTCAATCCATACGCTCATCAGAAACATTGGAATGTCTCTAGTGACGTAACATGGAGATATAGCTATTTATAAATCTTTGCTACTTGTTTGTTCGTCTTAATTATTTTAAAAATAAATTTAAAAAATGGATCATAGTCATCTGCTCAGGGAAAATTCCAAAAAAGATGGTTTAAGTCACCTGGTTGCATGCAGTGAATGATTATCATTAAATGTTTACTTTAAATACCCCAATAGAGTATTTTTTTCACTTTCTGCCTGTGATTGACAAATGAGTCCAATGAGTGTGATTTCAGAAATCAGGATTGGTCCATAAGTAATTCATGAATAGGAAACTCTTTTCTTCTTTGTCTGGTGCAAGTAGGTTTGTCAGTTAATGTATCCAAAAGAAATGGCAGTGTATTCTTCAAAAACAGTGATAGTGTCTAAGCCAACATAATATAAAGAATAACTGTACACTGAGTAACCAAAATAATTAAGAGAAATTGGTGGTACTTTTTAATAACTCTGGAAACTGGGCTAAACTCAGCTTTGTTCTGAGTACATACCGCGAACAAAACCAGCTGTCATGTTTTGAATGAATTTAAAGCTGCGATATGTTATCGTGACTATATAAAATACTGACAATGGATTTCTCTTTTTTTGGTATCATTTTATATCTTGTTTAATCTTTTAACTGCAAGTGCGGTCTGACAGTGAAAATATATTTTTGCCCTAACGAGGCATCACTTACATTTGAGGTGAGGATGCTTGTAATAGAGACATTTGGGGATCGTGATCAAAAAGACAGCCCTGCATGTATCTTGCAGTCTTTAGTAATACAGGGTGACTGCAGCATCTGTTTTATGCCAGCTTGAGGTAAATTGGTAAATATTGACTTTCTAATGGTGGCTTCTGTGTTTATTGAAGTTATTAATATGTTTTAATAGGAAAAGGCAAGTGCAAGTTCACAGACAGACTTCAGTATTCACTTTACTGTGATGTTCTTCAGTGCGAGATCAGACCATTTGTGATTATTGTTTTTATTGTTTTTTCACACTTTTTGTCTCAAAATGTGTTTTTGTTGGTATGATTGCTAATTTTAAAATATTTCCTTTTTTTTTTTCTCTCTCTATAGTGGGAAGAGATTAGTGGTGTTGATGAGCATTATACTCCAATCAGAACTTACCAGGTGTGCAATGTTATGGACCATAGTCAAAACAATTGGCTGAGAACAAACTGGATTCCACGCAATTCAGCTCAGAAGATATACGTGGAGCTCAAGTTTACCTTGAGGGACTGTAATAGCATCCCTCTAGTTCTGGGCACTTGCAAAGAGACCTTCAATCTGTATTACATGGAATCTGACGATGACCATTTGGCAAAGTTCAGAGAGCATCAGTTTACAAAAATTGACACCATTGCGGCTGATGAGAGCTTCACCCAAATGGATCTTGGGGACCGAATTCTCAAG